TTAGGAAGAAAACCAAAAATACAAATCTCGTGTAAACATTTTGGGAGTAATGTCTTTATTATGGCATATAGAAAAAAAAGGTAGGATTATGCATTTGAAGGCATGTTTGTCAAATTCTCCTGTCTAAATGAGAGGGCAAACCAGGAAAGACTGGCTAACCCAAAGAATACAAATGTGGAAGCGTTGAACAGTGCCATAGAGACAACTGGCCTTTTCTTGGCTTTCTGCTTGTTTTGCTTTGTGCTGAGGTTGAAGCCTGGGCTTGCACTGTGCGCAAGTGCTGTATAATTGAGTATATCCCCAGACTTGAAACATTTATACATTATTTGTTTATTTTGTTCATATATGTGGTGTGTGTGTGTGTGTGTGTGTGTGTGTGTGTGTGTGCTGTGTGTGTGTCTGTGTTGTGTGTGTGTGTGTGAGTGTGTTTGTGTGTGTGTGTGTGTGCACTTGCGCACACACATGAACCATGGCCATGGCATCCATGTGCAGATCAGAGAATAACCGGTGGGAGTCAAGTCTTTCCTTCCACAATGTGAGTCCTAGGGATTGAATTCTTGTTTTCAGGCTTGGTAGCAGGCATCTTCAACAGCTTGGCCATTTTGCCAGCCTCTGCTTGACTTTCAAGTATATAATGCTTTTCTTTATTTAAGGAGACCCCTTCTTGACTTCAAATAAAAACAAATTTCTTATGATATGTTTGCTGTATCCATTTCTGGAACACATGAATGTGTGTGAAACCTCAGGGGGAGGAGTGAGTGGAGCCCTGGGAAGCTTTTTGTTGACTTGAAGGGAGAGTTGATTCTCAGCAGCAATGCAGATAAGCTTGTGATCAGGCAAACAAACAAACAAACAAACAAACAAACAACAAACAAAAGAGCTGGCTGTTGGTGCACACCTTTAATCCCAGCACTTGGGAGGCAGAGGCAGGTGGATCTCTGTGAGTTCCAGGTCAGCGTGCTCTACTGGGCAAGTACCAGGACAGGCTCCAAAGCAATACAGAGAAACTCTGTCTCGGAAAAAAAAATCAAGCTTGTGATCATGTTTTACCTTCACCCCTCCAGAGCTGTGCTTCTCCAACTTCCATGCACACTTGAGGCACTTGGTCCTTCTCAACATACAGGTTCAGATTCAGCAGGTCTGGGATGGGGCCTGTTCATCTGCAGTTCTAGCAGATACCATGGTTGTGTGGATGTGGCCCTGACAGACACTGATGTTTAAAGTCTCAGTCAAATCTTATTTCTCAGCTTTCCCTGAGAGTTTCCCACTTTGAGATTCTCTTATAATTTTGAAAGTTCTAAAAGATTATTTTAATTAAAAATTCTCTCTTCTAGATACGCCCCTCACCTCTTACCCCTTACCACCAGAGCTGGCTCTCCCCCTTACCTAAGCTGCGGCACTCCAAAAATAGGTCCTGCCCCTTGCCTAGGCAACACAGCAGAGCTGCCTGTGGTGGGAGGTAAGGGTGATCCAGCCCAGATGTGTGAGCAAAGGAGAGCTGTCTGCATTACTCAGCTGACATGTGGCAGCATGGGCAGAGGAGAAATGTCCTCCCTGCCACCTCCCAGCTACCTCCTGCCCATCAACACCTGGGACAGGTGGAGGAGCTGGCCCTGGGGTCATAAGAGCAGGAGGGCTGTCCCTGCCCATCACCAGCTGCAGCACCCAGAAGAGTGGACCCTGTACCTCACCTGGACAACACAGTAGAGCTGGCCCTAACAGTGTAGCTTCCAGAGAGCCAACCCTGAGGGCTGAAAGCAGGAAAAATCGCCCTGCCCCTGGCTCATTGCTGCAAGAGGTGAGTTAGACAGGGCAGTGCTAGAGAGCTCACACTAATGGTGAGGACAGGGGAAAACTGGCAGGCTGACCAAGCCTAAAACCAGGGTTATGACTTGGTCTGCCCCAACATCCAACCCATCTGTGGTCTGCTGGAGAACGTGAAGGGACCTGCCCTGCAGACCTATAAAGCTGCAGGATCTCCATGACACAAGGCAATAAGAGTCCCTGTGAGGGCCCAGCATTGATAGTGTGGCAGGAACCAAAGGCCTCAAACCAGACAAATGACTCTTTACAATGAACACTTGCAAGTAAAGATATATGGACAAGGGGTTTACTTGTGTGACTCACTGTGTCACACTGCTGCTTCCATGTCAAGAGTTTTAATTTTGCCCCATTCCCCCCTTTTTTCTCTTAACATTTTTGGGAGTGCAGGGGTGAAAGGCAGCTGCAAAGAGACAAGGAAATGAATGGGATCAAGATAAATAATGTAAAAGATGCATAGAATAAATACAAAGGAAGAAAAAACTCTCTATTGATTTATATTTTGACAGATTTTGATCTTTATGTATGTTCTGATGACTTGATCTCTGTTGAGTAACTTTCAAATTGTAATGTAACTGTAGTTTGATCATCTCAGAATGAACCACCTGCATTTATGCCTAAGGAAAAAAAAAACATTAGCAGTTTAATGACTTCCACCTTAGGTTTTTCATTTTCTTGAGACTATAGACTTGATGGTAACATTTTACTTTACTAGGTAGTTCCATTAACACAGACCTATCTCTTCCATGCTATGCAGCAACCAGACTTTTCATAATCAAAAGGTTCAAAGTTTTAATAAAAATATGCTTTGTTGGAACTGGAGGGATGTAATGTGGGAAAATACCAATACAGAGCCAGGTAGAAATACAAGGGATTTTAATAGGGAAAAAGTCTTACTTATAGAGCAATCTAGCCAGCCAGTGGACAGCAATCTGTACAGCAAGCAGAAAGTGAAGTGGAAACCGAAACTGAAACCAGCCACCTGACCGCCTGTCACTCTATGTCATCCAGCCACGCCATCGAAGGCGTGGTCAGGCACACCTGTAGCCAGCCCCTAAGCAGGTGTGGCTACAGCATCCCCTACAATTCCCCTTTTAGTCTAAAAGAGGATTAAAACTTAACAGTGTAAAGTATCCAAAATTAACAATCATAAAGGTGAAATATAAGAAGACACAACAATCTATTGATGTCACATCCTATCTATTTTAACTAAATCCCAAAGTCCTTTTCTGGCCCCTGAGGGTACCAGGCATGCATGTGGTGCATAGGAATAAATGCAGGCAAAACATCAGTGCACATAAAATAAAATAATAAGAAAAAACTATAAAAATGTACTTGTATTGAGAAGAACCAGATTTAAAAAAAGAAAAGCAGTTGAATACAAAAGTAATCAGAAATATTGGCAGTGTTCAGACCCAAATAACTGCAAACATCCTGGAATCTGCTTAATCATGCCCGATTTCCCAGTGAGTCGTGTTAACAGCTCTAGATGTTAGTTTAATTTTTCTTCTTTAAAGAAACAATTCTTACTCACTCATGCCATGGAAAGAGGAAACATTAACTCCATGGAATTAAAGTGCTGGTGTCCATTCTTTCTGTGTGCTCTTGCAGCTGATCACAGAGGCCTGGGTGTTGTTAGTGGCACAAGGTGGTACAAGCTTCTCATACTTGTTCATGCTTGTAATGTGGACATTCTTGTGCCATTGCATGCAGTACAGCAGGAAACAGTAACAAATGAGAACACACCAACTTTAGCTGTACCAGTATAGAGTGCACTGCCTTTGATTCTCACTTGTCATTCTTTGTATATGAGAGGTCAACATGTGGTTGGCTTGGCTTTCCCACAAGTCTTTTTTATAATTGAGCATTCCATTCCATTTTCAAAATCTTTGCTAAATATTCTTTATCTCTTTTGTGTCTTATTCTTAAATTATTTTCATAAGCATAATATAATACTTGCTAATTTTCTTTGAAGGCTGGAGGCCTGGTCCTTTGCCCCCTTCTTTCAGAAAAACAAACCATGGGTAATAGAGACAGCTCTCCTTTGCTCATAACATTCAGGCTGGGTCACCCTCACCTCCCACCACAGGCAGCTCTGCTGTGCTGCCTAGGCAAGGGGCAGGGCCTGTTTCCTGAGTGCTGCTCCTGGTACTGGGGACAGTCCCATAAGCTGTTAAGGACTTAGATTACTTTTGTGGCAGGTTTTATTCTGTGTTGCTGACTTCATCTGGAGCATGGGCTGCATCCCTTGGAGCATGCAATCTTCTTGAGATGAAGCCACGATACAGACCATGATGTGTAGCCCATTGAGCTCTCACCAACATTACTGTGGTCCCCTAATGGGAAAACTGCTTCAACCTTTCGGATAGTATCATTGGAAGAGAAAGACTGGGGATGGGAAGAGGATGTGTCCATTTGGAAACAAACACTTCTGACTAAAATTAATAATTCTGAACCACACTAAAATGAATTACTCTGTGGTTGAAAGTAGGCAGTGGGCTTATGGTAAATGACAGAGTGTTTACAAATTTTCCTGACTACTTGATTAGAAAATGCACCAGGGGAGGAAGCAGCCGAGCATGCATTATGGAAGTGGTTGGTATCTGGCTGCAACCTGGAAACCACAATTGTTGTGGATGCTGTAGGAAAATTCTCACTTTCTGAGAGAAATTCTTTCACCTTTGTGTGCCCACAGCATGGATCTTTCCTTGTGGCAGCTGTAGGAAACACAGGAACTCTGTGACCTGGAAAATGTGGGACAACTGACACAAGGTGACCCTGTAAGGCTGGGGTAGGCCCAATTAATTTAAAATTTTGCTTGGCCTTGTCTCTTCCAATTTTCTGAATCCTCTGGAAAAATGATTAATGCATACACTGCCAATGCGAAAATATTTTTGACCCTATTAAAGTCGACCAAGGATAAACCAAGTGTAGGCTGGCATTGTATCAAACTGGCTTTATTAAATTTGATTGGAGGTTTGTATGAGGAAGGGACAGACAAGGACATTATTTTGCACAGCCGCTCTCTTTTAAATGAAAATATCAAGCGGAATACAAAGTAGCAGGATGCCTTGGACAGGAATCATTTTAAATATAAGAAAACAATACAAAGAACTTTATTTAAATGCTAAACTATTTGCTAGGAAAAAAAAGTGCATATTGCTATGCTGGTCACTTACCAGGAAGGATGTTTTAATTTATGGGAGGCATGGAAACCTGGTATTTCCTCATTTATGGATGAACTTGTTCAATCCTGCTTGCTTTCTCTCACCTGTCACTGAAAATTGTACAACTCAGAATTATTGTGGGCATGTTGAACCCTAGCAGAACACGGTTTATTCTAAAAGTGTTTCCCCAAAGTAGCAACCTACAGATTAATGCAACTAACCAAGGGATTAGCTTTTGTAATGGACATGTGGTTTTATATGAAGATGTTATGATCTCAGCACAAACCCACTGGATCCTTAACCTTTCAATCCATCATCTATAGTACTTGTAAAGAAATTTAAACAAATCCCTTTAATTCTCATTAAATAAAGTGAAAATATAATGTGTGTGTATGTGTGTGTGTGTGTGTGAGCATGTGTGTGCGTCCTCATTTAACTGTGCATATATTCACTTACATATGTATGCATATGCACCTACATACCTCTCTCCTCCCCTACATATTCATATCTCAGTGTGGCTTCAAGTAATGATCTTCCTGCCTTTGACTCCTGGGTTCAACCAGCGTGTGTCACCACAGACAGCTTTTGGAAACTATGTCTAGATTTCATTGAACTTTTAAAAATAGATTTCACAAGTATAGGGGTTATTTGGGCAAATAAATGTTACCAAAATGAATATACATTATCCATTTATCATGTGGAAAATATTACAATTTATTACTTTGGTATGTTTCTCATAAGGTAAATACCTGCTGAATGAACCAACCAGAGTTCACCCATCACTATGTACCAATGGAAAGGTAAGAGCTGGAATGGTACTTTAGGTAACATTAATTGTTTAGTGAAGAGAAGGGCACATGAATCATTTTTCAGTTAGTTTTGTTTAATAATCATAGATGTGGAGAGTAGATGGTTTTGTAGCAACAACAAAGCATGATGGGATATGAGTTTTGCTTCAGATTGTGTAGCTCAAAGGCATAAATGAGTTGTCTGTAAGGACTTGTCATGGATTGTATCTTCCTTTACTCATAGCCTCCTGCTATCTGTGCTTGTTGTAGCAGTGCCTGAGTTCACAGAAAGGACATGTACATTTCTGATCATCTTAATTTTGAGACGTCATTTTGATACGGTTTCTTCAATGGGATATGAGCAGAAAACAGGGTATGGCACTTCTGGTCAGAGGCTCATGAGCCTGGCATAGCTTGCCCCTTCTCTTTGAATGACAATCAAGGAAGTTCTAGACAAATAGCCAAGTTGTGTCTGATTGTGACAAATAGCACAGCACAATGAATGGGATGTGTTTCTCTTGTAACCACTGTATTTTGGATCATTTGTTAAACTTAAAAAAAAAAACGTAACTTATCTTGATTGACATGGACTCAAATTATAATCCATCTGCTGGAGGCAATGAATTTGGTGGTCTGACACTTAGGTCTCTCTGGATTTGTGATGAAATTGTCACTGGCCCACTGCCGTATCTGTTTCCCTCCTTAGCACTTGTTCCTTTTTCTTTCCCTTTTTAACAAATGGAACCACCAATAAGAAATGGGTAAGCCTTATGTTTACACCCTAGAGCCTATCAAATACTTAGCATCTTTTTCTTGAGTTTTCTCTTCTCTTCCATGGCATCAGCTTCTCTTTCTACTGGATCATTCAGTTCAAGAACTGAAAACAATTTTTGCTGGTTCCATGTTCCTTCCAGTTAGTCTCTTCCCACTTGCCTCTCATCTCAACTATGCTAATGCATTCTTTCACGTCCTTCTCTTTGGTTTCTAAGCCACTCTGAGGGATTTCTCCTGCTACTGAAAAGAGTATGCCCAGCTTACAGAGAACATGTGGAACATAGGCTCATGGGTATCTCATTATGCAAAATACAATTATCCAATTTCAAAAAATGCAAATAGCCTTTAACAGTCTCAACAATTAAACAATCTAAGTCTCTTCTGAGACTCAAAGGACTTTCTTAACTGTGATTCCCTTTAATATTAGAACAAACAAACAAAAAGCTGTCTACGTATTCCCATCATACAATGACACAGAGCAAACATTCCCATTCTAAAGTAGAAAGATGGAGACTAAACCTCCATGCACAACTCCTATGGAATCTTAGGAGTTCCAAAGGGTTTTGGTAGCCATACTCATCTAACTCTGCTGCTCACTGCACACTTTGCTTCTATCTTGGGCTATCTCCATTCCATACCAAAATCTTTCCTTGGAAGATGTTTACATGGTTCTGGCATCTCCAATGTCCTGTCTGCTTCACTTTCTCACTTTCATGCAGAGGCCTCTCAGAACCTTCTTGATACACATTTTCAGGTCACATTTCTGAAAATGTGAAGCAGGATTCCATAATCTCTCAATCTTACATCTTTTATGTCTGCAAAACTAATACCATATTCATGATGCTGACAACTCACAGCTCAAGGTGCAGTCTGCGCCCCCTTGAGCCATAGTTGCATATATTTTTATGTGCTGCCCACTAGAAAATACTTCCCTGGGCATTGGCTTTCAAGCATTGAATGCCTTTGTTTTCATTCTTAAGTGGAATCTCTCCTTCAAATTGAGGTTCATTCTTAAAAATTAGGGCTTTCAGTGAATGGGGTTCATCTTCAGCATACCTGCTACTCTGAAACCTTACATGTGCTTTCTTATACCTATTCCCTTTCCACCTTTATGTTTTTTTTTTTTTTGTATCTCTGCTCTCTTTCACTTTATATCTCAATAAGTAAGGAGTAGTAGTCAGGCCACAGATTTAATGTTATATGTCTTGCTTGCACTTTATTTCACAAAAAAATTCATTCATTGCTTTTTAAATGTAGGCTCTTGAAAGTTCTCAGGACATGGGCATAATGCAGCTAGATTCTCTGTCAGAGTATAGTGTGAATAGTTAGTCCAATTCCCAACAGATTCTTTGGGCCAGGCTTCTGTGTTTCTTCTGGCATTGTGTCTTCAAAACTCCCATTGGAATTGTCCACTATGTTCTGCTGAAGGCATTCTGGGGGCTTTTCCAGCCAAAACTCAACCTGTTTTTACTGTTGTTCCAAAACCTTTCGGACAACATGCTCAGGATTATAGCATAACCCCATTGCAGGTACTTGAAATATTTTCTAATTACTGTAGCAAATACCTGGCAAAAGCACCTTAAGGAAAAAGGACAAATTTCAGTATGCAGTTCAAGGAAATGTGTTCCATCACGATGGGGAAAGCATGGGGACAGAATCAGGAAGTTAGCAGGTCACAATGCATCTGCATTCTGGAAGCACAGAGTTCTGAGAAGTGCATCAGTTATAAAAACCTCAAGGCCAGCCCTCAGTGGCTCATTTCCTTCCATTAGACTCCACATTGCTTCAATTTTCCATAACCTTCCCCAATACCACCTCCAGCTGGTGAACAACTACTTAAACACATGAGTCTGTGGGGAACATTTCAAGGTCAGACTGCAACACAGGTTGCCAACAGTAATTTTGTCAAATGTGTCATTACTTTTCCCTTTGCAATGAATTTAAAGTATGACTGAGTCAATAATTCTAGGTTTCAATAAATGTCTTTCTGGTTGTTTAAAATTATTGGTCTGCTACATTATTGCTGTTAAGAACTCTCATTTCTATGTAGTAAGCTTCCATTCATTGTTGGGATATCAATTAGTTTTTCTGTGAAAACTTCAGGGTTTATCCATTTGTTTGGGGTTTTGATACTTTTTAATAGTTTGTCTGGAAGAGTACTATTTTCTTTCATTCTCTTTAGCAATAGATGGATCCAATGATGCATTTTATTTTAAACTATTAAAAATATCCTTTACTTATTATTTTTGCAATTATTTTCTTTCTTATATTTGCCTCCTCTACAAATTCAGAGCAATGGATTTTGAATTTATATTTTTGTTCTCTTTGGAATGCAGATATTTTTATATGATGTTATTGATACTTTATCTTTTTGTAGACTCTTTTAGAAATAATCACTTATGTTGCTTTTCCTGCTTTTAATTCATTGCTTAGTAATGCTCTTATTCTATTAGCTTTTAAACTTTTGTTTAAAACAATTCTGACAATAATATTTGCAATTTCTGAGGTCTTAGTTGTTACTAATTCTGTACACAAGATCCTTTTGAATATATCTAATTAAATGAAACATACATATTTCAATAATAATTCTTTTATTTGTTCTAAATACTTTTTCTCAATTATAAATTCTAATTTTCATAATTTTAATTGTCTTTATCACAGATATCTGGTGATAATTGTTCTGCTCATCTTTGTGCTTCTGAATTCCTGTTCAAAATCTGCCTGTCTGGGGTGGTGTGGGAGTTGTATCAGTGCTAGTGGATTCCATATTCTTAAAAAGAATCTCATTCATTTTGGGCTTTGCTAGTGATCTGAACTAAATTGCTACCAGTCAAGAGCTAGCTTCTCTATTCACTATATTTTCTGGAGTTTCTGAGCCATCAATCAAATTATTTCCTAATTATTTACCTGGAGCTTGCAGCACCCCTGATTGTACTTTCCTATCACATGTGGTTGGTTATAATTTTTGTTTTAGCAGCTCTTGTGAGATTTCAGTTTACCAATGACATTCTTCTGTTGTCTGAGGATGTAACTCAGTTGGTAGAGAGCTGACCTAGCATTCACAAGGCCCTGGGTCCAATACCCAGCACCAAATAGGATAAAACTGTGTCCTATTTGGTTTTAGTTGCTATGATAAAGACCATGACCAATGATACTCTTCTTATCTCATGATGTTATTTGATAGTGGTTTTTTAAAGCAGAGATTTTAATCAATTTTAAATAATTTTAAAGACATCATATTGGGAAAAATGTGTGTGTGTACTCAGTCTGACATGTTGGAGAAATAATTGCCACCATCCTTTTGGACATTTTCTTGTCTTGATATGGCATGACCACTACTTGCACACCTGCTTAGCATATTCCTTTTCATCTTTTAGAGTTGTGACAACCTGGTCAACTGGTGGGAAGAGGTGTGATGATGACATCAAAAGGCCGAGGCTTTTTTTAACTAGGCTTGTCCTGAGTAACTCATAATATGAGATAATTAATACAATGTGCAGCGATGGCATCAAAAGCTGGAAACTGCCTGTAGAATCAGCAGATTTGGAACAAGATTTCTGTAACAACACTGTGCTTAGAATAATATTAAAATATTGATAAAATTATTTCTTTGTGTTT